ACTTATTAGTGCATGTTGATGATTAAACATCAGTAAAAAGATCTTGTGKTGATCTCAAATCAAAGTTAACTTTGTTGCCATATTTTTCATTTTTCACTACAGATAAAGGTTCTAGGAGGTTTCTACATTGGAACATGTATTTTAAGGTTCCACATCAAATTTTATTTACAATATATTGCTAGTAGTGTTATTAGAGCGGATTTCGTTTGAGTGGGAAACGGACGGTACTGTACTGTAACCGTAATCGTATTATAACCAAATTCTAGTGCACCATTGGTTCACCAAAATTGTGCAGGTCAGGTCCGGTATAATACGATTACGGTTACAGTACAGTACCGTCCGTTTCCCACTCAAACGAAATCCGCTCTAATTTCTACCGTACGTTTCCCACTCATACGAAATTGACTCTATTGCAGTCGCTGTATAGAATAATGCTAGTCTGCTTAAAATCTCACCAAAAGCATCTACTTACGTATTTTCTCGCAGTTATAATGTGTGTCTGTCAGGGTCTTGTAAAAGACTAAAATGAGGGACAGTCAAGATTTAAAATTTAGAGGATATATCAAATTGCTTCCAATCCACCATGCAGTTGCGCTTGCAGAGCTTGCAAAAAGTGCAGAATTGAAGTTTATATGAATCTTAGGCTGACGGAAGGCAAAGTTTTCTTATTTAAGTTTGCTTATTTCCCAAGAAATGCTGGATATTTGTATGCAAAGTAAAGATTTTATCCCTTGACTAATTTTTGTAAAATGTTTGGCTGCTATGTACATGCTTGCAGTGTTTTTTTCGATAATGCTTTATTGCACTAGTATCAGATCACTAGTTCAACTATTATTTTTTTATTTTCTTTAGTATACTTGGATCAGCATCAATAGTTATTGCAGTAATTATAAAAAAGAAACTGTGCAATCCAGAGGTACGTAACTGCATGATTGTTATGTTAAAACAAGTTCTTCAAGTTTTAGAATAAAAATTATAAACGCAAGTATCCGACTATCTCTAAATCGTTATTAGTTAAAGTTCTTCAAGATTGTCGTAACTAAATAAATGATCCGCCATAACTGTAATATATCATTTATAATTATTCTAAATTATGTTCATGGACTATTGCTTTTAAAATCTATTAAAGCAACATTGACTTGAGAGATCAGTTACATGAATTTAAAATTTGTTKACAACCATCAAAGCTGAAAGCTTGAATCMGTTGTGTTCTTTATTCAACTAATCATTCATTTTGTTAGGTGCGACCGATCTTTCATCTTTCCCTGGCTGATTTTGTGGCTTCTTTGAGTTTGTGTATTGGTGCAGCTACCTACTTACAATTTGGATTCAATTCCACCACAAGACAGTTTTGCTCATATGTTACTGCTTTTTCAAGCGTATGTGATATGCCATTTTATCATAATTATCTATGAAATCAGACATATTATTATTTCTCACTTTCTTTGACAGTACCTTTGGAGATACTAGAAAATAAACGTTAATTTTATTCACAAAAAGTATTCCAAAACTGTGATTTTTTCAAATTATTGAGCAGATTGATTTTCTTTTAAATATTGTTGTTTTTTTAATATAATAATTATAATACTC